TATCTCTCAAAAGTGGTGTTTAGTTGCTTGATTCACAGGGAAGTAAATGGGATTGACAGAGATTGGCCCCAAAGATTGATCTATCCCATACAAGACAGAGGGAAGTACATATATTCACCATCATTCCAATTGGAGACTTTTCTTCCAACCTCTGGACCATTCAGCTTAGGAACAGGCATGTTTGCTGACTATGCAAATAAACCTCCCCAAACTCATACTGTTTTTTAGGCTTCAGACAGTGCCTGGGTGGAAACCTTAAAAGAGAGTATTGGAATCAGTAACTGAAAGAAAGAAATGTAACTGGGCTCGCTGAAAAATGTGCTGTGATCCCCACAAATTAAAGTGCCCAGCAGTAATGTATTGAAATATCTTTATTCCCAAGAATGTTATATTCATTGCTCAAAAATTGCCTAGGACCATCTTTTAAGAGCCAGACTTTTTCCCTTTTAAAGCGCTAATAATGGCACAGGGCAGTTTTGATTAGCAAACAATGTGCAGTCCTGATTCAAATGGGGGGGGGGAGAATGCAAATTACAAATTAAAGAAGATCCATGGTCTTTGTCACATCTGTTTTGGCCCTTACTGTGTCCATTCACTACCCCCCCCACACACACAGTCCCATTATGTGCCTGTGATATTCTTTACTGCTGGAAAAGGGCACTTGGTTTTGTTAGATATTTACCGTATTTTTCGGACCATAAGACGCACCTGACCATAAGACGCACCTAGTTTTTAGAGGAGGAAAACAGGGAAAAAAATATTCTGAACCCTGGGGCTCAGTATTCAGTCCATAAGACGCACACACTTTCCCCCTCACTTTTTTTGGAAGAAAAAGTGAGTCTTATGGTCCAAAAAATACGGTAAGTACCAGCACCTTGAAGCGAATTTGGTATGCAGTCCTTTCAGCACAGGATGGATGTTGCCCCACATAGGGAGGCCTATCAGAAGCCTGGCTGCAGCATTTTGCACTAGGGCCCCAGTCACACGAAAGGTTTTAGGCCGGGAGAGGGACGGATCGGTGGTGCAGCAAACGGGTGCGATCCCACTGCAACATCTGGGAAATGTTGCACACCCATCCCCGATCCGGCCCTTCAGGCCGAAAAGCCGCATCTAAAATAAACCACCTACAAAGGTGGACTTACCAGCATGGCCGCATCAAGCGTGGCCATGGGATTGCCAGTGTGTCCCTTCTGCCGGCACATCCAAGACTCCTGGCCAAACTGCGCATGCTCACACATGCGCAGTTCGGCAGCCTCCGTCTCTGTCTCGTCACTTTCTCCCCGGCATCTGATAATGCCGGGGAGCAACTGCGCGGCAGCTCACAGGATCTGTATGATCCCGCCGCCGCGTGTCTATTTTGGTGCGGCTTTCAAAAGCCGCACATCCCCCCCCCCCGTGTGGCAGAGACCTTGCTGTAGCTTCTGGATTTGGGTCAAGGGCAGCCCCATGTAGAGAGCATTACAGTAGTCCAATTTCGAGGTGACCATCGCATGGATCACTGTCGCCAAGTCATTGCATTTGGGGAAGAGAACCAACTGCCTAATCAGCCAGAAGTGGTAAAAGGCTCATTTGACAGTGGCTGCTACCTGGGCCTCCATTGTTAGTGAGGCATCCAGGAGCACTCCCAAGCTCCTAACCTCTAGTGCTGGCACCAATGGTGCCCCATTGAAGGTTAGAAGTAGGATACCTACTATTGGCCCACCCTGGCTGTCATGACCCTGTCATGACACAGGACCTCCATCTTCATTGGATTCCGTTTCAGTTGGCTCAGTCTGACCAACCATGACTTGCAATACTCAGTCCAGATCTTCCTTTTTGAAGTCAGACTGGCCGCCCAACAACAGATAGAGCTGGGTGTCATCCGCATACTGGTGACATCCCAGTCCATGCCTCCGGCCAATCTGGGCAAGGGGGCACATGTAGATGTTAAATAACACTGGGGACAGCACCGCCCTTTGGGACACTCCACAAATCAGTGGGTGCCTTTGGGATAACGGCTCCCCTAGCGCCAGCCTTTGTCCCCGACCCTGAAGGACAGAAGCCAGCCAATGCAAGGGAGGCCCCTGGACTCCAGTGTCGGCAAGGCAATGGATCAGTAACTAATGGTTGACTGTGTTGAACGCCACCGACAGGTCCAACAGCAACATCACTGCCAATCCGTTCTGATCCAGATGCCTCCGGAGGTCATCCGTGAGGGCGACTAGTGCCGTCTTCGTCCCGTGTCCTGGAAAGAAACCGGACTGGAAAGGATCTAGAATGGAAGTGTCATCCAAAAAGCTCTGTAGCTGAATTGCCACAGCCCTCTCAATTATTTTGCCCAAATAGGTCAGATTGGAGACCGGCTGGTAATTAGCCAATTCGGCCAGATCCAGAGATGGCTTTTTCAGGAGGGGATGAACCACAGCTTCCTTAAGTGCCCTAGGGAACTGTCCCTCCGAGAGAGACTTGTTGATAATCTCCATTAGGGCATATCGAAACCCATCACAACCAGCTTTAATTAGCCAGACCGGCTGGTAATTAGCCAATTCGGCCAGATCCAGAGATGGCTTTTTCAGGAGGGGATGAACCACAGCTTCCTTAAGTGCCCTAGGGAACTGTCCCTCCGAGAGAGACTTGTTGATAATCTCCATTAGGGCATATCGAAACCCATCACAACCAGCTTTAATTAGCCATGATGGGCACAGATCAAGGCAACACGTGGTAGGGTGTACAGTTAAGAGCAGTTTGTCAACTTCTTCCAGGCTGAGTGGACTGAAATAATCCATAACCTGACTAGAAGACGTGCATGGAGCCTCAAGTTCACTTACTGTCTCAACTGTGGTGGGGAGGTCACGGCAGAGCGACAGGACTTTATCTGCAAAGTAGCTCTCAAAGGTCTCACAGCCAGTGTTCAATTCCCTAACATTTGGTCTGCCTTGTGGCAGAACAGTCATAGACTGAATTATTCTAAATAATTGGGCTGGGCATGAGCTCGCAGATGCAATCGTGGCCGCATAATACGCTGACTGCCATCTCATTGTTGTTTGTTGTTCAGTCGCACAGTTCGCGACCCCATGGCCCAGATCACGCCAGGCCTTCCTGTCTTCCGCCGTCCTCTGAAGTTTGCTCAATTTCATGTTCGTTGCATCTATGACACTGTCTAACCATCTCATCCTTTGCCGTCCCCGTCTTCTTTGACCTTCAATCTTTCCCAGCATCAAGGTCTTCTCCAGTGAGTGCTCCCTTCTCATTTGGTGGCCAAAGTATTTGAGCTTCAGTTTCATTATCTGGCCTTCCAGGGAACAGTCAGGGTTGATTTCTTTTAGGATTGACTGATTTGATCTTCTTGCAGTCCAAGGGAATCTCAAGAGTCTTCTCCAGCACCATAGTTCAAAAGAATCTATTCTTCAGCGCTCGGCCTTCCTTATAGTCCAACTCTCACAGCCATACATGACTACTGGGAATACCATTGCTTGGACCATGCGTATTTTTGTTGGCAGGGTGATGTCTCTACTTTTTATCATGCTGTTTAGGTTCGCCATCGCTTTCCTCCCAAGGAGCAGGCGTCTTTTAATTTCATGGCTGCAGTCACAGTCTGCGGTGATTTGGGATCCCAGGAACGTGAAGTCTGTCACCACTTCCACGACTTCCCCTTCTATTTGCCAAGGAGTGATGGGACCGGATGCCATGATCTTAGTTTTTTTGATGTTGAGCTTCAAGCCCACTTTTGCGCTCTCCTCTTTTACCCTGAGCAAGAGGCTCTTTAGGTCCTCTTCACTTTCTGCCATTAGAGTGGTATCGTCTGCATATCTGAGGTTGTTGATCTTTTCCCCAGCAATCTTAATTCCCGCTTGTGATTCATCCAGGCCAGCATTTCGCATGATGTACTCTGCATATATATTAAATAAGCAAGGCGACAATATACATCCTTGTCGTACTCCTTTTCCTATGCTGAACCAATCAGTTGTTCCATATCCGGTTCTAACTGTCGCTTCTTGGCCCTTATACAGGTTTCTCAAGAGACATGTGAGGTGGTCTGGTACTCCCATCTCTTTAAGGACCTGCCATAGTTTGTTGTGATCCACACAGTCAAAAGCTTTAGCATAGTCAATTCATTGATGGCTGCCAAGAGTCAGCTCCACAAGCTCATCTAACGAGCCGCCAGGGGGCATTGAATCCCGCAGGGCCATTTGAAGCCACATAGGGTCCATTTGGCTCCATGGGCAACCTGAAATCTGCTCACCGCCCAAACAGGGTTGGGGTGAAACATTCAGATGGGCCTTCAGGGCATTATGGTCTGACCATGGCACTGCTGAGGCAGTGACCTGGTCCACTGTGAACCCTGCTGCAAAGATCAGATCGAGCATGTGTTCGGCCTGGCGAGTGGGAGTCGTTACATATTGGGAGAGTCCCAGCACCACCACGGATGACACTAGGTCCATTGCCTGAGTGGAGGCCACATCGTCCACATGGACATTGAAATCATGCAGGACAATCGGTCAAGGATTTTCCAATGCCCAGTCCAACACGGCCTCCACCAGGGATGGCAGGCTGCTGGCTGGTTCTTTTTTCATCAAAAAACCAAAGATAAAGTACAAGCAAAGACGAGTCTTACCTTACAGTAATTATGTTTTGTTCTCATAATTATTTGTTTGGTTTTTAATGTTTTGGCTGTTTTGCTGTTTTATTATCTGCAGTATGTGATTATTTTTAAAAGGGAATCTTTTTTTGCCTTAAATTTTGTACAATAATGAAAACATTGTCCTCTATTCTTTTAAAAAATTAATAAAAAGGTGTGCAATCCTTTTATATGGGTCACCTCTAACTATGGGGCTGGCTATGGGAATGGTGGAGACCAGATAATAATGAAGTCCTAGTTTTACATTTAAAACGCTAGCTTATCAGTAGGCTGACATTAAATTGTTCAGTAATTTGTCAGTATTTGGTCAGTTTTTTTGGAATTTTGGTCAGTAAAATCAGTATTTTTGACCCTCTGACTAGTTTCCACCCCTGACACTGTCATTTTACTTGCTGGTAAGTTCCTGTTTCTTGGGGGGAGGGGGGGTCTGTTCCACATGGATATTACTCCCTCTAGTGGTCAACTTGATATCACATAGATTTATGTCCAGCATAAAAACCTGCAGTTTAAATCTGCAGGGACATATGCTTGAAATAAACCTGTGTGATATTGAATCGACCACTTCAGGCAACAAAATGTGTGCAGAACAGAAAAAAAATACCTGAAGAAACAGAAACTTATCAGCGAGCAAAATGATACCGCAAAAAAGCCTGTTCTCTGGGTACCTCATCCAGATTTATGGTGATTAATGATATTTTCACACACATCTACCCATTAACTTTCAGTCATGTGTATGTATATACCATATGCTGGCATGCGCGCACACACTCCATTAAAGTCAAAAGTATTTTTCCTAATTTTGTTCTCATTCTAAACACCAGATTTGCTTTCACAGGGAAGACCCTTGGAGCTGGAGCTTTTGGAGAGGTGGTTGAAGCAACTGCATTTGGCCTTGGGAAAGAAGATTCAGTCCTGAAGGTGGCTGTGAAAATGCTGAAATGTGAGTGCAGAGTAGCAGAGCTGCTATTATCAAGACTGCGTACATGTATTAAAGAATAGTCCCTTTAAGAAAACAGGTCCCGTACCATTTCCAGAGTCAACTTATGCCATCCAAGCATGCACTTTCACACAGTCCTAGCAATGTAGGTTATCTTTCAGGCATCACAAACTACTTCATTAAAGCCCAATTCCACTTGAACAGCAGATGCACATCTAAAAGGCTTTTAGATGCAAACCCAAGAATCCTCCCTTCAATAGAATGACTCCAGGAACTGACTGGACATCCCATTCCACATCTTCCCCTACCAAACCTTAATTTTATGGACTAAATATTTTCTGCTCCTCAGAGAAGAAGAAGAGATTGGATTTATACCCTGCCCTTCACTACCCAAGGGAGTCTCAGAGCGGCTTACAAATTCCTTCCCCTCCCCCTCCCCACAACAGACACCCTGTGAGGTAGGTGGGGCTGCGAGAGCTCTCACAGAAACTGCTCTTTTTCAAGAACAGCTGTGCCAGAACTATGGCTTGCCCTAGGTCATCCAGCCAGGTGCAAGTGGAGGAGTGGGGAATCAATCCCGGTTCTCCCATATTAGAGTCTGCGCACTTAACCACTACACCAAACTAGAAGGAACATGATCACGTAGTGCTTCCATAATGCCAGCTAGCTGGATCACAGTCAGACTTTATAAAATATCAAATTTCTGTCATTCGCTAATTTTTCTCCCTCACACACACATTTATTGTAGAATTTTTTAAGGTGTGTAGGCAGCTTCGTCAGCGTTCAGGATGCTTCTGTCCAGTATTGCAGCTGACTTTAATTTGCAACCCACCCTGCATCCACAATCACACATGACCTGTCCATACCTCTTCTTCATACACATACTCCTGACTATCAGGCCCTTCACATATTTCATCGTGGCAAATCTGTCTTTGCCACAGTGGGCACAGCTTAGAGCTGTAATGTCTGAAAAAGCCCATATCCTAGTGCTCAGTTTTTATGCCTACTAATTGAAAACAACCCCAACATTGGGTCAGGAAAGAATATGGACCTACCTGGCTGCAACCCTTGCAGTTGCTTTAGAATGGAGGGCCCCCTTTGCCTCCTTGGAAGGATCAAGAGACTGGGTACTTTCGGGGGTGGAGACTTTGGTTTAATTTGCTCTGCCTGGCCCTCTATTGGGCAGTCTTCACATTTCGATTGGCCTACCCACCCTCCCCTCTATAGTGTGGGCTTTTGCAAGCTGCTAATTTAGGGGGTGGGTAGGAATTTTTTGCCCTCTCCCAGATTGGCCAAGGAAGGGGTATTTTTTTCCTACCTCACACTGTATGTTGTGGTTGAGTAATTGACTGAGGGATGGTGCCGTTAATTAGGTTTTCCTTTGGCAGGAATCTTGCTGATTTGGTTAGGGTGGTGAGCACCAACAGGCAGTCCCACCTTGATTGGGAGAGTGGGCACATTTATCAGGAACCAGGGGTCATTTCCTGCAGGAGCGCCCAGGAGCAGAGCTCCAGCAGTAAAGAGCCCAGGGGGTGGGCACATGCAACAAGCCCCACCCCCTGCTCCCAGCAGCCCTCAGTCAGAGCAAGAAGCAGCCAGGTAAGTTGCAGAGCTCCCCCTGGCCCCGTGGTCCAAAACAGTCCAGTGGCGCCTTTAAGACCAAGTTTCATTCAGGTACAAGCTCTCCCTCCTCTGCGAGGACAGATCTGCACGTTCCCCCCCCCCATAGCTAGCAATCCAAAACAGTCCAGTAGAGCCTGAGCGGTGGGTGTTGCCTTCTGACACACTTCTGGTGATGTCAGGGGGTGTGGCATATGCAAATGAGTTATGCTAATGAGGTATGCTAATGAGCTCCTGCACCTCTTTTTCTACGAAATGACCCCTGGCAGGAACCATCCATTGGTATGAGCCTTGGAAAGGAATGCAAACAGTGTGCGATGCCCCTTGGATTGGGCTGCCACTCAAGTTCTGTGGCTTGAGGTGGCTGGCTTCCTTTCAGGGAGTTATTCCCATGTCTTGCCGCATGGCAACAGCCATGCAATCATTGGCATGCACCAGGGGCTCGGTAGCTCACCCGTTTCTGGCCAGGAAAGGGACCCGGGGTGTATCCCCTTGCCCCAGCTTATGTTTTAGTTGGCCTTTGCTGAGTTACAGTTCATTCACTTAAAGTTAAATTTAATAAATCTGCCCTTTATTATACCAACACACCTGTGTGAGTCTCTTTATTCTGACTATGGGGACAAATGCGGTATAAGCAAGAATTAATGGACCTGGAACCATCTATTGATTTCTGTTTAAGAACAGAGCTTACGGAATCTCTGTCATTCTCTCCTTCCACCTCTCCAGCCTTTTCCCTTTTTTTCCTTCACCCCATCTCTACGTTAGATTTTAGAGATAACATTCTTATTTCTGGTTCCAGCAACAGCACATGCTGATGAACAGGAAGCCCTCATGTCAGAGCTGAAGATCATGAGCCATTTGGGGCCCCATGAGAATATCGTCAACCTGCTGGGCGCATGTACCCATGGAGGTAACAAGATGCCATGACACCACTACATTCCCTGTTGCCCCCATTCATACTCTTCTGAACTTTTCATTTCTATGACATCTACTTGACTCCAGTGGAATAAGTAACTTCTCCTTCTGCCATAACTGTTCAGAACAACAGCCTACCGTACCGCTTTGGTTTTTAAAATGGGGAGGGAGGTGTAGTGAAGTAAGATGAAGTTGGCCATTTTAGTTTGATCCTGTGCAGTTTTGTGCCAAAAAAACCCCGTTTGTATTGTTGGAGCCCATAAATCATTCTTGTCTAATCAGCTATCCTTATCATTTTGCTGATAGGAACAGGACAGCATTAATCATGAGATGCATATTGGAGAATAACATTGCCAGCAGTTTCTAATAGGTCAGAATGTACATATACATAAGAGGGCTACATCTGAGCACTTAGCAAGCATAAAGGGAGCGCATTCAAGCCATTCTCTGGCAATGTTTTTAATATGTTTCTTTCTAGGCCCCATCTTTGTCATCACTGAGTATTGTCCACATGGGGACCTGCTGAATTTCCTGCGAAAAGCAGCGGAGAGTCTCATAATTCAGGATTTGACCTTGGAGTCATCTTTTGATAGCACAGTGGCTGACTATAAGAATATGTACATTGGGAAGAAATATGTCCGAAGGTAAGAATACAAGCCATGTGTGATGTATTATCAAGGGTAAAGTTCAATGAGAAAGGCCGCGGTCACACGGACCTCTTACCGCGCTAGTTTTCCCGCAGTTCTTCTATCCGCGACATTTTATATCGCTTGGAGGTGGTCAGACGGTCCCTCTGTCTTCCGCTTCACTCGCGCGAAGTACTGATCACACAGCGCACCGTTCCTGCGGCGGTGCGGGGTTTTGTTTTGTTTTTTAAAAACCTGCGCATGCGCTTGGGCATACATACAAACTAAGATGACCAAAATAAAAGCTAGTGCCTGTTTGCACATGCGCATAACTTAAACCGGAAACACAAAAAGGGGGGGTAGCGCGGTCACGGCAGATTGCTGTCCAGATACCAAAACCGCGGATACAAAGCGCGAGATATCGGAAAACACCTGTTCCAACGGGTGTCAGAAAATGTGGATAAAAAGAGCAGAAACTGCGGGACTCAGCCCGCTTCGGTGCGGGAGGCGGGTTTGCCAATATGAACAGGAAACTTTAATGCGCGAGGGATCAGCAGCGAAGCTCGCAATAAATGTCCATGTGACCTGACCCATAGACAGCCTTACATCTAATTTGTCACCAACAAATAAAAATAAGTTCCTCCTCAATTTGATCAAACAATAGAGCACTCAGGCTACTGCATTATATATTTTGTGCTTACATGTTACAGTATGTGCAATTCTGCATCTAGCGTTCACTCCACATTTTCTTAACTGGGAGGGAAAAGATGCAGCTCAAAACCACATTCAAATACCCCAAGGCAATGCAGTACTGACTGCAAAGTCACCCCTGAACAGCCATAAAATGGCCATAAATCTATGCAGAAGGTACCATAAAAAGCTATGATCAAAGGAAGTGAAAGCAGCATGGAGTGTGGCTACCATAAAATCCGATGATCAAAGGAAGTGAAAGCAGCATGCAATGCGAAGGGAAATTTATGTTCCAACGTGGGTTTTGTAAAACAATGGAGGGAAAAGCCAATGCAAAATCAGCCTATATCAACATTTTGCCCTTAATGAACTGGGATTGAATCTCAGCTGTACAAATTGCACCACTTTGTTGGCTAGTAATTTATTAGTGTAAAATAACAGAAGGATGTTTCAAACCATAAATGCCTACCTTTGTGGATTTGAAAGAAATGTGCCTGCAAATGCTCTCCAAAGAAATATATACAAGCAACAGAAAAACATACAGTTGCAGATCTCTTCACAGCCAGAGGCACAGGGGCAAAATCTTACATAACAGGTTGTTATATCAGGCCAAATTCCCCTGTTTTCTGCCTGAGACAAATGTGTCCAGGGCCTGGTATTACAGCAATAGCAAAAAGAAAAGGCAGTGTTAAGTGTTCAATTCAGTTTATTGTTACGGTCCTTAGACCAGTCATTCAGTGTTGAGTGAGAGTCGACTATCAAAGTCCTGGTGTCTGCCTGCCTCACCTGTCCATGAGGAATATTGGATGCTCACAAAGTTATCCAAAGCACATGATGTGCTTAGTATGTAGGGTTGCCAGGTCCCTCTTGGCAACTGATGGGAGATGGGGGGGGACTTACCAGGAGAAAGAGAAAGGTCCAGGCCACATCGCCAGCTTTACACGGGAAGTTATGTCATTATGCTGTGCTGTTGCTGCAATGCTCTGGTATTTGGGCAAAAACTCTATGGTAAAAATGGCTTCTTCCACATAGTTTTTGCCCAAATACCAGAGCTTCGCCTGGATGCTATTGGCATGATGACATCACATCCTGTGTGACACCAGAGATGTGGCCTGGGCCTTCCTCTTTCTCCTGGTAAGTCCCTCCGCAGATTGGGGGGCAGGTCCTGGTGGTGGGGGACCCCCGCCTCCACTGCCAGGGTTTGGCAAACCTGTTAGTATGGAATTCATTCAAACAGTATAGCAGGGTTGTCAAACATGTGGTCTGCAGAGGACTCAAATTCTTCTCCTGCTTCCTTTCCCAGGACTGCTGCTGCAGCCGCACTGTAGCTTGCTTTCCCCCAAGCTCCCTCATGGTTTTTTCCTGTTTCCTGCCTCTTGCCTCCCTTCCCCCCCATCACACACACAGAGAGGCACACAGAGAGCTCCATGGCTGCTTCCGGCAGGAAACAAAGGCAAGTCTCTCTCTCACTCACACACACACACACGCACGCACACATATACACAGCTTCTGCTTCCATCTCCAGGGCTGCTCCTCCTTTTTTAGGGAGGGAGGGGAGGAGAGATAGAAAACAAAGTTGGAATTCCATTGTAGCTTCAAGACCAACAACGTTTTATTCCAGGTATAAGCTTTTGAACATAAGAACTTAAGAGAAGCCAATGTTGGATCAGGCCAATGGCCCATCCAGTCCAACACTCTGTCACGCAGTGGCCAAAAATACCAGGTGCCATCAGGAGGTCCAGCAGTGGGGCCAGGACACTAGAAGCCATCCCACTGTTGCCCCTCCCCAAGCAGAAGAAGAAGAGATTGGATTTATACCCCACCCTTCACTTGGAGTTTCAGAGCGGCTTACAAACTCCTCTCCCTTCCCCTCCCCACAACAGACACCCTGTGAGGTAGATGGGGCTGAGAGAGCTCTTTCAAGGACAGCTTGTGTCAGAACTATGGCTTGCCCAAGGTCATCCAGTAGCTGCAAGTGGAGGAGTGGGGAATCAAACCCGGTTGTCCCAGATTAGAGTCTGCGCACTTAACCACTACACCAAACAGTGCATCACTTGCCCCAGACTGAGAGCTCCTGTCTATACCTTGTGGCTAATAGCCACTGTTCTAACCCAACTGCTCAGAAATTTCACTGAGTGCCCACGAGTTCTTGTATTGTGAGAAAGGGAGAAAAGTACTTCTTTCTCTACCTGCTCTATCCCATGCATACTCTTCTAAATCTCTATGATGTCACCCCCCAGTCGTCATTTCTCCAAGCTAAAAAAAAAATTTAAAAAAAGATTGGATTTCTCTGTTCATATCTGGATTTATTTATTTATTTTTAAAAAGAACCTGATTAGGAATTAGAACACTTGATTTGCCCTTATATCTTGGAGAGCAGAGTGATTTCAGATGCCAAATGATGAAAGCACACATTGGTAATTAGACAGGAAAACTAGCTCTCAGTTCAGTCCAGGAGGATGCATTGTCTTGAGCTTCACTATCAATTGTGATTCAGCAGTCTCTCTTTCTGTCTTCCCTTTGAAATTCCTTTGTAAGAGCACTGCTACTCGTAGGTCAGCAAATGAATGTTGTGGTTTCTAATGTCAGACTTATGTCCATTTATTCTTTGCATCCTCCTGGACTGAATCCTCCTGGATGAAACTGAGACCTAGGTTTCCTGTCTCATTACCAACAGTGGTATCTCCACGCCTGCTACCCTTCTTCATATCACACCTAATCCAACCAAGCCTGCTATTGTCATTCACCTGCTATGGCCATTTAACATCTGAAATCATCTTTATAAAATTTATATCTCCGGTACCTTGCATTACATTTTATTGCACACATGGCCCAACAAAGTGACATTTATGTCAGATTCAGCCCTTGTAAGAAATGAGTTCGACACCTCTGAGTGTTTGCCAAGAATGGGGTCCACCAGAGACTGTGAGTTGTACTACTCACTTCAAAGACCAACCAGAACAGCTCTAGAATCTTGGTATTCCATAATAGGCGTGATTCTAAACATCATATCCTTGGCCATTAATTTGGTTTAAAAAATCAGTTATTTTTATTTTTTATTACACTTCTATCCCACCCTTCCCCACAAGCAGGTTCAGGGCAGCTCACAAGAGGTCCACAATAAAACATTTAAAACAATAATTGAATTTTTAAGATGGCAGAACAAGTTCACAAAATTCCCAGGAGTTATTGCGTATATGCCTGATGGAACAAAAAATTGGGAATTAGGTGAGAAACACCATTTGTAGATGGAATATGGAGGACAGAGTGAGGCAGGACTTAGACACTGCACACTCATTGAAACAATTACAAAGTGAGAAAGAATCATCTGCATCGCAAGAAACTGCAGTATGATTGATCCTGGCCAAGTAACCTCTGAGCTGCATGAATCAAATACTGCTATATTTTGAAGTATTTATGGCCTAATGGCAGTAGATACTGCATTGTTGCTAACTTTCACTCTCTGGTTGCTTTCTCTCATACAGTGATAGTGGATTTGGAAGTCAGTGTATAGGAGACAACTATCTAGAAATGAGACCTGTGGCAATATCAGTCTCCATGCCAGCAAAAGGTAAATAATCAAAGAAGGAGAATGCATACTTCACACCACTGGTGCTTAATATCCAAAACGTGGTAGTTTAACTCCTAGGGCAGGGGGAGAGCTGATTGGAGCTGGGCAACTGCCGGTTCAGGCTGACTCAAAGGGATGATGCGGTAAAATTCTCTGAGTGGGAACGAGCTAGCAGTTGAGCATGAGAGTAGAGAATAAATGATGGTCATCTGAAAAGACCAAAGGGCCAAGGGGGAAAATGAGGTATACGCTACAAGCCGAGATGTGGGGAACTGAAGTGTTTCATGTTAAATGGCTACTTAGATATAGTAGACATTTCAGAAACCTGGTGGAAGGAAGAAAATCAAATGTGATGTGGTTACTTCTGAATAACAGATACGACAGGGAAGGGCATGTTGTGGGTGGTGTTGCTCTGATATCACAGAGGCTATAGAGTTACACGAGAAATCATAATATACACCCCCCATCGAACCACTTGTTGTTGTTCAGTCGCACAGTCGAGTCCGACTCTTCGCGACCCCATGGACCAGCTCCCGCCAGGCCCTCCTGTCTTCCGCCATCCTCAATGACACTGTCTAACCATCTCATCCTTTGCCGTCCCCGTCTTCTTTGACCTTCAATCTTTCCCAGCATCAGGGTCTTCTCCAGTGAGTGCTCCCTTCTCATTTGGTGGCCAAAGTATTTGAGCTTCAGTTTCATTATCTGGCCTTCCAGGGAACAGTCAGGGTTGATTTCTTTGAGGATTGACTGATTTGATCTTCTTGCAGTCCAAGGGACTCTCAAGAGTCTCCTCCAGCACCATAGTTCAAAAGAATCTATTCTTCGGCGCTCGGCCTTCCTTATAGTCCAACTCTCACAGCCATACATGACTACTGGGAATACCATTGCTTTGACCATGCGGACTTTTGTTGGCAGGGTGATGTCTCTACTTTTTATCATGCTGTTTAGGTTCGCCATCACTTTCCTCCCAAGGAGCAGGCGTCTTTTAATTTCATGGCTGCTGTCACAGTCTGCGGTGATCTGGGATCCCAGGAACGTGAAGTCTGTCACTACTTCCACGACTTCCCCTTCTATTTGCCAAGGAGTGATGGGGCCGGATGCCATGATCTTAGTTTTTTTGATGTTGAGCTTCAAGCCCACTTTTGCGCTCTCCTCTTTTACCCTGAGCAAGAGGCTCTTTAGGTCCTCTTCACTTTCTGCCATTAGAGTGGTATCGTCTGCATATCTGAGGTTGTTGATCTTTTCCCCAGCAATCTTAATTCCCGCTTGTGATTCATCCAGGCCAGCATTTCGCATGATGTACTCTGCATATATATTAAATAAGCAAGGTGACAGTATACATCCTTGTCGTACTCCTTTTCCTATGCTGAACCAATCAGTTGTTCCATATCCGGTTCTAACTGTCGCTTCTTGGCCCTTATACAGGTTTCTCAAGAGACATGTGAGGTGGTCTGGTACTCCCATCTCTTTAAGGACCTGCCATAGTTTGTTGTGATCCACACAGTCAAAAGCTTTAGCATAGTCAATGAAGCAGAAGTAGATATTTTTCTGGTACTCTCTTGCTTTCTCCATAATCCAGCGAATGTTGGCAATTTGATCTCTAGTTCCTCTACCTCTTCGAAACCCACTATGAGTTACCATATCCTAAGTGTTGGCACATAAATAATAATGCAGCAGACATATGTGAATTAGCTAAAAATAAAGGTCTCTAAGGTATTAGGGAGGGTTACATGGAAGAATAAAACAATAAACAGTCTAGCTGACTGAGCTACATTTTCCTAGCTACTGTTGGCACCAAAATGGATCTCTCGTCTGATCTTAGAACAAAGGAAGGGAGACAGAAACCCAAAAATGCCTATGTGACAAATCTCAAGCAACATCTCGCAATTACAAACTGACCAATGACCAGGCTAAAGGTCAGTTCATGATCCATAAGACCTTCCCCTTCTAATGCAGGAACTTCTACTTGCCCCATAGGTCCTACCTATCTAACTATTAGCATAGACAGACAAACAGGTTAACTCTTTCATGATATCAGGGAGAGAACTTGTAAACACTCCAACCCTAAGGGTACCTTAGAACGGGGGGGGGGGGGGTGTTACTGTCACCTACCCGATGAAAATGGTGAAAAAGATTGGCAGGAGAATTTCCAAGATGTACAGAAGCTATATGGTGCTACACTGATGTGCATAATCGCTTCAGTGTGAAACCAGATCACATCTTAGTAACACTCTAGGATTCACCCAAACCTCTCGGTTTAAACCATAGAATTTTGGGTGAATCCTAGAGTGACGCACCATTGTCACTTCCAGTTTTGCACTGGAAGTGATGTCATGCATTGGTGCAATGCTGAATTGCCTCCCCATTCTTCTCCCATCATCTTATCTAGCAGCAGGGGAGGAAAGGGGGTGCAGGCTGGTAGGTCTTGCTAGCACGCTATAGTAAGAGAGCTGTCCCCCAGTTGATCACAAGACAGAGGAGGAAGTGAGGGAGATGACTAAAGTTAAAAAACATTGTACTATTTACTGTAATACCACATAAATTACCCACTGCTTTGCCAATGGGTGTTGTTGAATTAATGCAAATGCCATTACATCAGTGGAAGAGCATCATCATTGGATCCAACGTGCAAGACTGGCACACATTGGACATTCAGGAGTGAGCAAGAAAGGAAGGATTGTTTCCTTTTCTATGAACAGGTTTCATATATCCTTGTGGTGTCAAATTCAAGTGTTTTTAACCAGAATCCCAATTTTAGTGTCCATTATGCTGGACTTCGTTTACTACTGTGCGCTGAGCTTCAACATTAATTTTATCCTGCTGGGGAGATAATGCCTTCTGTGGTTCACCATGAGTTTTTCTCTAATCAAGGACACAGTTCAGATTCAGAAGAGGAAAAGGAGAACAAACCAACTCTTGGCCTGCGTGACTTGCTACAGTTCTCCAGCCAAGTGGCCCAGGGGATGGCCTTTCTTGCTGCAAAAAATGTGAGTATGTCATCCTCCAAATAACTTCTTATTAGGAAAATGATTGCCATTAGGATAGACAGGCAGATATTCCACAAGGCTTGAAAAGGAAACAGAGTGTACATGTAGGACGTTTGGCCTTTGTCATAGGGTTGCCAACTCCAGGTTGGGGAATTCCTGGAGATTTAGGGGTATAGCTGGGGGGTTGGGGAGGAGAATTCAGCAGGGTTTCATAGAGTCCAAAACAGCCATTTTCTCCAGGGGAGCTGATTTCTGTAGTCTGGAGATTGTCATTCAGGGAGATCTCCAAGCCTCACTTGGAGGCTGGCAACCCTGCTCCATACAAAAGAGAAGGCTAGACTAAAGCCCTGTGTTCTAGAGTCTAGTTTTCTGTATGGAAGGTTCCCCCCCTCCCGCCCTGTGACTACTTGGCCCAGCTCTGTGAAAGATGTGGAATTCGTTTAACAACTAAACCTGAATGCTTCAGTCTGTTAATAGGAGACATTAGTTGCTTGAAGAGTACTTGCCTAAAGATAACTGTTTCAGAAATAGCTAATCCCATATCATCATAGTTTTTTGTCAGCATGTTGATTTTTTATTTTTCTAGAATGAGCTAAAATAGCCTGTGAACTAGTCCTTCCTTTTGAGAAGTGAATGCCACTGAGGTGGTTGGCTGTCTTAATTATTATGGATGAGCCTAATGCAACTAATAGATGGTCGGGGTCAGCATTTAACAGAAGTATATAATGACAATCATTCTCCCCTGCCTTTGGAAAACAACATCCTTCAGCTAGTGGCAGTCTGTAGCTAATTTTTTTTTATATATATAAAGGTTTTATTGGCTCCCCTAAAAAGGGGAGGTATTTCGCTTAAAAGAAAAAAAGGGAGGGGTAGACAGTGGGAGAAAGAGAAAGCTGAGTGATATATAAACTGGTAAATTAAACTGTTAGTAATGTCCAATTAATCTTCTTGGGCTTCTTCTGTGTGTTGCCAAACTTCTTTTCTTAGTCCTGTTACATGTATTCTCTGTTAGTATGTTAGTAATGTTCCTTTGAGATTCTGTTAATAAAAAGGGTCTCTTCTGTGCACATCCAGAACCGCTTCTTGCGTGCTGGGTACTTTTACTATCGCTGACGTGGAGGAGCTTCCTCTGTTGTCTCCGTTGTCTTCTCCTTCCGGCTTGTTAGATCCTCCTTCGGGTTGTTGTTAATACGCTCAGTTCATGTACTATAAATCCTCTTCCTTTCATGCCCCGGAGGTCCCCATTTTCGAGAATGGTATCAATTTCATTTTCGCTTTTATATTCGCTCCCAGACTCTCTATGGGTCCTCCTCGCAATTGTTGGCAGTCTGTAGCTAATTTAGACTTCAACAGGCTTTAGTTCACATGCAGCAACTTCTTAGGATTATAAAGCAAGACTGGCAGTTGAGCTGTGTTCTTTTAGGTGTCTGCTGCCTTGCAGTAGGCCCTGGGTAGATATTTATAATCAAGGCTATTTATAGGGCAGGAACGCACAGGAACGGAGTTCCGGCTGGCTCCCAAGTTGGCCACGCTCAGCAGGCACTCATTAGCACAATAGGCCACACCCAACAGCAGAAACTCATTAGGATTGGCTACATTAGGGGTGTGTGGCCTAACATGCAAAGGAGTTCCTGCTACAAAAAAAGCCCTGGGTTTTGACAACAAACAAGGTAAACAGAATAATAAGAAAAAGGTGGGTGTGGCTGGATAACCACACTTCTGGTAACATGGGGGTGCATCCTAATGTGCTAATGAGCTGTGCTGTCAGGGGTGTGGCCTAATATGCTAATGAGTTTCTGGTGTTGGGTGTGGCCTATTATCCTAATGAGTTCCTGCTGGGCTTTTTCTACAAAATGAGCCCTGTTTATAATTAAACAGATGATACAAAGACACCACAAGTTTTCTTATGCAAAGGAAACAAAAGCCTATCGTATTCTCCCTTGACTTTCTGCTGCTCAGAGAAGTGGAAGCACATATTATGTAAGAACACTTTGAAGTAACATGTTTAAATGAAATATTAGGATATGCTACGTGTGGTTCATCAAATGCATATGAACTGTGAGTTTCCATGGGAACTGATAGTCTGGAGATCAGTTGTAATTCTGAGAAAACTTCAGGTCACACCAGCCCAGTCCTGTAACCTCAGAAATAAACTTTCCTGTTTCCCTCTGCTGGGATTGTGGATTACTGGATCCATCTCTTTTAGGCTGAGAACTTGCACTTCTAAAAGTAAAAGAGATAGATGGGTGGAATTCTTTTGGATTATTCTATTTCCTTAAATCTATGGCATAAACAACCAGGATTTTTTGGTGTGACTGTTGTTCTTCAGCTGGTGTATCCCACCATAAGCAGCAGAATTTTCAGATCCTGTTCTGCCTGAATTGTACATATCTGGTTAGTGGTTTAACCTCAAACTGTTCTAAAGTTGTAGCTTGCCTTTTTCTTCCTTTAAGGAAGAAGGAACTGAAATTTACCACTGGGGGTTCTGTCCCCACAGTATTATAATTGGCAATAGCAGCCTCTCTGGCTCGTGACTATTTGCCCAGAGGGTAATGCCCCTCTGCAATGCCTTAGTCAGCAAGGGAACCTGAGAGCAGAGATTCAGACCACCACAATACTACAGTTGTGGCGTTTACAGTAACTCCGTTCCTTTAATCTGGGCCAGTCTTTTAGACTGCCCTAGGCCACTCCAGAACAGCGAAGAAGACAGTTGTCATCACTATTGCTCTGCTCAGAGAAAGAACCTGATTTATTACACTGTGTTCCTATTTAAAACTATGCTGCCTCCTTATTCTGATGACTAGCATTTAAGAACACAACAGTTATCTACATTTTTGAGCATTGGACCAGGGGATCCATCTCTACAGGGCCCCAAACAGGTTGCCCCCTATCTCCTCCATTGTTCTCTATGGTGGGGGAAAAGTTACTTTTTTCCCACCATAGAGAACAATGGAGAGGATAGGGGCAACCTGTTTGAGGGCCCATAGAATTGGATCCCCTGGTCCAATGCTCTTGAAACCTGGTTGGTATCTTGGGGAGAGGCTCCAGCAGCTACCCTGTGAGTTTGGAGTCTCTCCCTCAAACCCCCTCCCCTCCAGCCCCCAGATTATACCCTATGTTTTCACCATTGACTTCAATGGCCCATAGGATATAATGGGGCTGAAATTGACATTCGGCTGGCCGAAAGACTCCTGAATCCATTTGTACTGATGAAACTGACATTGGGAGTCTTACTGCCAGCCAAAATTGATTCTGCCCGATTCGGCCGAATCCGAATGGGCCGAATTTTTTTTTTTTTTTGCACATCCCTAGTTCACCAACTTGATCCCTCTTTATTCAGGGGTGGGGCAATCTATAAATTGAAACCATAAATTGGAACATAAATATCTGTGCTGAACAATAGAGAAATGGATGCATGAATCGGCCCTTATGTATTCAGCCCAGGTTTCCTCCCATCCCCAGCTCACCACCACTCAGCTGGGCAGCAAGGGAAAACTGCAGGGAGAAACGGGAAGCCATCAGGATCTCCAGCAAAGCCATGACATCACTTTCAGTGTGAATCAGAGGTGCTGTCATGTCAGCTGATGTTCTAATATTCACCGAAAACTCACAGAGTATATACTAAATGCTAGAAAGTTGCCAGTGATGCAATGAAGTCACTTTTGGGTTACCCTGGAAGTGACATCATGATATCAATGGTGAGCCCCCCTCCCCGACACATCCTTAGATGTGGATGCCTTCTAGGCCATAAATACTTAGATAACTATCATGATGTCTCAATACAATTATCTCTTTTTCATTTGTTGATCTCATATGGCTATGGCCACAGCTGGGTACAAAAGTCAAGAAGAGCAAAGGAAAATAATGTGCAACTTACTCTGCTGTCTATCCCATCCAGTGTATCCACCGAGATTTGGCTGCAAGGAATGTGCTAGTGGCTGATGGACAAGTGGCAAAGATCTGTGACTTTGGCCTGGCTAGAGACATTATGAATGATACAAATTACGTCGTCAAAGGCAATGTAAGTACCTGGGATGACACCGGTGTGTTAGATAGCACAACAGACTAAGAGGAGTCACATTCAGGGATAGGTGGAGGCTACCAAGCAGAATCTGGTTCAGCAAAAAGAGCAGTCAAGGCTCTGATTATATGCTTTTGTTGTTGTTCAGTCGCACAGTCGAGTCCGACTCTTTGCGACCCCATGGACCAGCTCCCTCCAGGCCTTCCGGTCTTCCGCCATCCTCTGAAGTTTGCTCAACTTCATGTTCGTTGCATCGATGACACTGTCTAACCATCTCATCCTTTGCCGTCCCCGTCTTCTTTGACCTTCAACAATTAATATGCTGCTGGCTCATTAATAAGTTTTGCAATTCCAGGCTCGCCTGCCAGTGAAGTGGATGGCACCAGAGAGTATCTTTGAGTGTGTTTACACAGTACAGAGTGATGTATGGTCGTATGGCATCCTTCTCTGGGAGATATTTTCTCTAGGTAAGGAAAGATTAACTGGTTTCCATTTTTCTTCATGAAAGAACCTCTGCTGGAAATAGATACATTCTGAGAGAGGGTGGGATTGGGATATAACGTTGATAGTCTTGGAGAAAAAGCATGAAAGAACAGGAAAATCCATACTAGATTTTGTCAAAGCATGGCTAGAGCAAAGCTTGGTGGGAGTCACACACTTACCGGGGCTCAGAGCAGCCAGGGTCATTGCTGCCATCTTGATCCTCACCTAGGGTTGCCAACCTCCAGGTGGTAGCTGGAGATCTCCTGGGATTACGGCTGATCTCCAGCTGGCAGAGATCAGTTCCCCTGGAGAAAATGGCCACTTTGGAAGGTGGACTCTGTGGCAATTATACCCTATTGGAGTCCCTCCCCTCCCCAAACTCCTCCCTCATCAGCCCCCACCCCCAAAACCTCCAGGTTACTTCCCAACCCAGAGCTGGCAACGCTATCCTCACCTGAAGCGGGGCCTGACTGGAGGCAGCAGCACATGGCTTCTGACTTTGGCAAGCCCAATGTGAGATGTGTCTCAAAATCCCCCCTGTGACAATTCAGAGTCCTCTCTTAGTTTACACACTTGCCCTCCTCGGTTCTACAAGCGACACGGAAATACGATGGTGCCTAGCTTGTTTCTCCTACTAAGGCACTATGCTTGTCACAATTACAGGCAAGAGCCCCTATCCTGGCATGAAAGTGGACAGCAAGTTTTACAGCCTGGTGAAACGGGGATACCACATGGCCAGGCCTGATTTTGCTTCAGATGATACGTAAGTAGGATGACTTGGGAATGGCACCAGACAACTGAACGTTTGAAACTGTCTGAGACATATACTTGGGTCCCTCAGATGACATGTCATTTATTGCAGTTTCCTCACCATTACAGATATTACCCAGTAATCTAGACTTAAGTCACAGCAAGGTTATTCCTCTCTTAATCAATCACTAATATAAAATAGCTTGAAAATAATTCTCCAGAAAAGTACACTCCCTTCCATAGCATCAGTAGAAAACTACTTATACATGATGTTTATTGTGCTATTTAATGGGGTACAATATTTTTGCACCCTGATGTAGATTAGCCCAGGCTAGCCTGATGTTATCAGATCTTGTAAGCTATGCGGGGACGGCCTTGGTCAGTATGTGGATGGGAGACCTCCAAGGAATAGCAGGGTCACGACTTGGTACCAGACCTCTGACCCCCTCTGGTCTTGAAAACCCCACAGGATCACCATAAGTCAGCTGTGACTTGACAGTTGTACACACACACACACAAGCGAGAACCCTCAAGGACTTGCGGGAGGCATCTCACTTCTCCCTCTCCCACTATTTCCTCTTTCCCTTTCCTGAAAGCCCCCATAGTCTCTTCCCTTTTATTTATTTGATTTGTTTTCTAGTCCGCCCTCCCCTGCAAACCAGGCTCAGGGCAGGTTACAACAGTATAATGAAACAATATGATACCATAGTTAAAACATAAACAATTATTAAAACCTAAATATAAACATCAATCAATAATACAATCACGTACAATCACTGGGTGCGGTCAGACAGTGTGCTGGGAGCGGTTTAAATTGCTCCGGCCCTGAAGCGGTCTTTTTTAACTTGGAGAATCGTGATCACACTCACCTCCTTGCTCCGGGTCGCTGCGCAGCCACATCACTCCCCACTGTCCACACGCGGGAGCGTGCTTTGCTGTTGTTTTTTCCTCTCAGGTTGGGCATGTGCACAGGCAGCCATCTGTAGAACTAAAATTTTCACGCGTGCGCAGAACACCGATTTCCACTTTAACCCAACTGCTGTAACACTTTCCTTTAAACGTTTACCCCAAAAATGGCCTCCATGAGATCCCGAACTCATCTAAAACTAGGCACCATTTAAACATTGTTTTTAATATCACAGTGGCGGACCTCTGCCTATGCGCACACCGCCAACACTTTTTTAAAAAATGGTGGGCGAAAAGTAGAAGCCTCGGGCAGCTTTCAAGCAGGGAGGGGGTGTAAACCGGAAGTGGCTCGACACCGCAGGAGTGATCAGATGTCAGAAAAGTGCAGCTGGAACCGGAGAATCAGGAAAACACCACTTGGGGACCTGGTATCAAAATACTCCAAGTTAAAGCAGTTTTGAGCCAGAAAGCGATGGCTGGGGACGGGAGGCAGATGTTGACTGTGTGATTGCGCAGATAAAATCCGTTTCTGAGGTGGGCCGAAAGCGGACTAAATGGCCCGTCTGACCGCACCCACGGACACCAACTGATACCACTGTTCCTGGATAAACTCCACCTATGTGTGCAGTAGATAGTAACTAAATACTGAGGGAGTGGGCAAACAGGAAGAACAATGCAAGATGCAACCAAGCAGGGGGAGGCCAATACCGATAGATCTCTGCCACCTCAACCATAGGCCTGTCTCCGTTTTACAGGCCCTGTGGAACTTCACTCTTGGGAGAGTGTTCCACCAGGCCGTCACCAGAACTGAAAAAGTTCTGGCTCTGGTCGAGGCTAAGTGGGTCCTCCTTTAGGCTGGGGATCGCCAGCAGATGTTGACCCATAGAGTGCAGTGCTCTTTGAGGGACATACTGGAGAGATGGTGCTGCTTCCTTCTCTCCTAGGGTTGCCAACCTCTCCTGGAGTCACAACAGGTCTCCCAACTACAATCACTTCCCCTATTAGGGCTCCAGAAAATTCCTGGAGACATAAGAGTGGAGCCTTGGGTGGATGAGGTTTGGGGAGAGAAGCAACTTCAGCAGGGTATAATGCCATAAAGTCCATCCTTCAAAGCAGCCATTTTCTCCAGGGGAGCTGATCTCTGTCATCTGAACAGCAGTTATAATTCCAGGTGATCTCCAGCCCCCACCTTGAGGTGTCAAAAATAGAGATCATGGGATAGGTTGTCAAACTAAGTACACACACTGTGAAGAATGACAAAAATTGCACTTTATACAAACAGTTAAATTAATGTAATGCAATTAGTATCTCTATTTCTATGTACCAAACATTCAACAGTCTTTTAGTGTCCCTTATAAACTGATGATATAGTCACATTCATTCATTCAGCAGGTGAACTCCATGTATTCCAACCATCAAGTGTCGTGTTTGTGAGCCTTGTGGAAGCACAGAATGGAAGATAAGTTGGCTGACAACCTCCGTCGCTTCCAGTTTTCAACAAGGTCAAATCATAGCAAGGACACTTGATGGTTGGAATACATGGAGTTCACCTGCTGAATAAATGAATGTGGCTGTATCATCAGTTTATAAGGGACACTAGAAATTACTGAATTTTTGGTACATAGAAATTGAGATATTAATTGCACTACATACATTTAATTGTTTATATAAATTGCAATTTTCCCACCTGGAGGTTGACAACCCTGGTTCCCCTGGAGGAAATGGCTGCTTTGGAGGGTGGCATCTATGGTATTATACCCCTTTGAGGTCCCTCCCTTCCTCAAACCGCCACCCTCCCTAGAATCCCCCAAAAAATTTTCTAGGAATTTCCTAACCTCTTTCGGATTCCCCATATCCTCTCCTTGCCTCATTCTCTCCTTCTCAGCCATTCACCAACCTACCTTTTATCTGTTTCCCAACCTCAGCTATATTTCTTCTTTATTTACTTCATTTATACCCCACCTTTCTCTACTGTGGGGACCAAAGCAGTTTACAGCATTCTTTTCTACTCTTTATCCACACAACAACTCTTTGAGGTAGGTTAGACTAAAATAGTGTTGCCATTCCCCAGGTCCAGGTGGGGAATTTCCCAGTTTGGGGGGATTCTTCCCGTTGGTGGGGGAACCCCACCCCTAAACAGTGATGTTCTTGGGTGACCTCCCCAATGCAATGACATCACCCTGAAGTGAGGTCATCGCGTCAGGACCATTGCACAATGACGCTCTGGTTTGCGGGCAAAACTCTATGGTTTGAGGGCAATTTTACCATAGAGTTTTGCTCTCAAACCCTGGCTTATGTGGAAGCAAAAGTAATGACAAAGTCATATACTAAATCTAGTAGCCAAACTTGGATTTTCAAAAGATTATTTATAGAGGCTTGACCTTTTTTTGCAGCAAAACAATTAAACCGGTTTGGTGTAGTGGGTAGGAGCATGGACTCTAATCTGGGAGAACCGAGATTGATTCCCCACTCCCCCACATGCAGCTGCTGGTGTGACCTTGGGTCAGTCACAAGTTCTCAGACCCACCTACCTCACAGGTTGTCATGGGGAGGGGGAGGGAAAGGAGATTGTAAGCCTCTCTGAGACTCCTTTGGGTAGTGAAGGGCAACATATAAATCCAATGTCCTCTTCTTCTTTTGTATTTATGTGATGCATAAATTTCCCCCCCATCCAGGTACAATATCATGAAGGCCTGCTGGAGCTTGGAGCCTACTCAAAGGCCAACCTTCACTGAGATTTGCACTGCCATTCAAAAGCAGCTAGATACCACCAAAGAACAGGTAGATATTTACATGTCTAAGGTGAAATGGGAGGTGGAAACCTATACCCGCATGATTTGTTTTCACAGAAACTACATTACCTGGCTTCACTCCTCCCTAATGCAATGGTGTTTGGGTGAGATTTCCATAAGCAGTATCCTGGAAAAGGATTTCTCACCCATAACAGTTTACTATCGACTGAGCACTTTCTAGTTCAGATCTCACCTGTACAGTCATCTGACACCCAAGTGGAAGAAGAACAATTCAGTACTCATGGCTATGATCTATTATTTTCTTAGGAGATATTTATGCTGCTTCTCCAGAGCCCCGCTCAAGGTAGCTTACAATTAAAATAATAAATTATTAATATAAAAACAAGCCGAGGGACATAAAAGTGGTGTAAAACTATTCATAAAACGGACTTCAAACCAGAAGCAGACCATAAAACAGCTGGAAAGATAAACCCCAAATTAAAAGCTTGGATAAAAATAAATGTTTTGACTTGGTGCCTAAAAGACAGTAAAGCAGGTACCAGGTGAGCCTCAAGGAGGAAGACATTCCAAAGGCCGGGGCCAACACAGAAAATGCTCTGTTTGTACTTGCCACTGGTCTCATCTCTGAAAGTGAGGACACACTGTGCAGGGCTTGGGAGGCAAATCTCAACTGGCAGGCTGGACAGTATGTGAGGAGATGGTCTTTCTGATACCCTGGCCCTAAGCCTTAAAGGTAAGAACCAGCATATTGAACTGTGCCCAGGAACAGACAGGGAGACAGTGCAGATCCTTCAGCACAGGGGTGATACAACACCTAGATATTATTTGTTAAGGGAGCCTTCCACAATTAATACAGCTTTCATATCAAAGACTAATGGGGCATCCTGTGTGCCTAGTGAAACCAAAGAGAGGCAATGAAAAGTAGGCAACAAGCACTCTAAATGAGAACGGCTGCATTCCCCTTTTGCGTGAGACTCTGATGATGTAGGTTTGGTGGCTAACACGTTGTTGTTTTCATCCATCCTCTGAAGGACTATACAAACTTGCCAAGAAACACAGAAAATGACAGCGCTTGTGAACCAGCCAGTCTCTGTGAAGAATCCTGTGAAGCCGGAGAAAGCCGGCAGCCCCTTCTGAACAGCAACAATTACCAGTTCTGTTAAGAGGCTGTTGTTCACCAGCTTCATGCCTGCTTGAGCACTCTGTTCCAACTGGGGGACAGGCCCTCCACAGCCATCCCTCTGGGGGATTCTCCTGTCTAGAAGCCAGATACTTTCATTCAGAAGTCCCACCCTGGGGTTCTAACGTGCATTGGCAACAGACTCCAAGTCATTAATTTCCCCTCCCCCCCGTCCTTAACATCTGGCAGGTTAGCTTCACTCTTGCATTTAATTTAGCTTGAAATAAGAAGCTTGGCTAGGATCATCCTGTCAAGAGGGCATGTGTAACCATGCTTGCAAGAGTGGGAATGGAGCTCAAAACTTTAAAATCAAACATTCCACATTTCAAATGCACATCACTGGCCCTCAGTTTGTAAGGTCTAAGAGATCAGATGAACTCCTTCCCCCATCTTTAGAGAACTCTTTCTTCGGCACAAACTAATAGCCAGAAGTTGATAACATCTCCTGCTGCAAAGAATCAACAACCTATCTGCTTTACATCTCAGACAGGATTCTGCAGGGGGACAAAGAGAACAGAAAGAATCGTGGTCATTCAGCATTCCACAATAACTTCCTAGAGGAAAGATTAGCACAGACAGAACAAGAAATAGTGCTTCATCTAACTCTGTGCAGACTAAGAACCTCATACCACAAGTGTCTCTCATTTAGGATTACCATCCACAATGAGTTAACCAAGTACACAAAAAATGCATGCTTGTAACTATAACCTTCTGTGATGCAATCAATTAAGATTTACATATAAGCGCACTTATGATTTGACTAATTACTGATTTTGTAAGAACTAAGCCAATTGATAGTAGACGGGAACTAAGGAATAACTCTATTTTATCATTTGCTTAATCGTTTGCAGTAGTTCAGTTAACTGAACATCTATAATCTAGGAGTAACTGCAAACCAACATTATAGTGGATTGCTTACTAAATCATTATTATAGTATTTAGAAATTGATTTATAAACATTTGCCAAACTAGTACTTTAAGTTAATGAAAAGAATAATAAAGGGAAGCCCAATCCAGTCTGTTTTACCATCTCAAATATAAAGGATGAAAATCCAAAGAATCTATGAGTTGGTACATCACTGGATTGAGCTAAGAGCTGCCCTTTATTCCTGGCAGCTAAATGTGTAAACTGACTCGGGTTTCATGTGATATGACGAAATTTAAAGCTCTCTCTAGTGCATCACTTTGTGACTGCGTCATCAAATGATTACCCATAGTGGATCCAATTAAGGTGATGACTGGATGGTGTAAACAGAATTTTAACACTCAAATTCATAAGGGCTTGATGCACCACAAATGCTGTACATTATCCCTCCCCCCGGACACATTTTTGTTTGAGGATAAGAGGGCATTCTGGAACATCTGGGTACTCTACTACCCCTCATCCATGAAGGCAGGAAGCAGGGCAGATCATTCTGTCTCCAGATGGATGGGAATACCCCCCTCTTGTTTTTCTTTCTGACTCCCCTGTGAGAGTATGCAAGGAAGGAGCTCTGTGGACTTTTCTTCTATACCCCACAGGCTGTTTTTCTAGCGTGCCTCTCTTTCTTTATTGTCACCTAACTTCACCTATAACAAAGTATGACTGCTGTGCTAGTTTTTGGACACACCACTGACAGAAGTTCAACAGTGGCCATACCTCACGATCCTTAGCCAGGGGCTGCTGAAACTGCCTTTCAGGCTCACTGGAGATACTCCTGGAAGAAGCACAGTAGTGAGCCAGGGTAATCTCTGGGGGCTGCTTATGGCAGTGTTTGTGGGGCCGGAGGATGGAGGATCAGGACCTACACTGCAGAGGCACACAGCATTGTGATCAAGTGAAATTTTAAAATGTGACTGAAAATGCTGAAGGTAGCATAACTGTTGAGGCAGATCGCCTCAGAGCAGGAAAGACTCCAGGCATCTGCTCCAGGTGGACAGGGCTGGTCATCTAGCTCTTGGAATATTATGAAATTAAGCTAAATTTTGTATATATGCAATAATGTAATTGTTGGAATGCATTAAGCTCCAGAACTCACAACGATGGCAGCAAGGCAGACAACTCTGCTAATTGTTCATGATTTCTCCTGCGCTATTTTCATTCAAGAAAAATCAGTACAAGGTAAGAGCTGTGCTGATGTGGAACATTTAACTTTTTTTCCCTGGGGGAATGCGCTGGAACAGAGTTCTGGAACCTCTTCAACAAAATTCTTTTTAAAATGTTTAAAAATGTTTTCAGTATACAGATTGAACATTTCCCTCTTGAGATTTCTAGCACCTTTTTCCCCAAAAAAGAGCCCTGCTTACATATTCCTTAAAATGTGTTACTTGTTCTATAATTTGCAATTTGTAGCAGTTCTATGTTTATACGTTTGATGTTCCCCAAGTGCACATGAAGTGTTTTAAATGTATATATGTGTAAAAACAACATTGCAAATGTTTTAGCTTGAAAGTCAAAATTTAGAACCAAACATCCTAAAGACGTAACATTTTAATCAATGTTCTACTGCAATTCAGCTTATACGGGTTTTATACAGAGATTACTAACTTTTCTAAAGTAGCCACCTTTGACATTGCATGTTAATTAAACAGGAAGCCAATGCAGCTTGGCCAGAAATGACTATGCAATTACAATACCATATAGCGAAG